TGCCTCGCGGGGGCGGGGCCGAAAGCCGGGGCCCCGTGCGCATGTGCACTGCGCGGAGGGGCGGGCCCCTCAGAGCCTGGCTGCTGGGCACGGCGCAGGCCCGAACGGGGGCAGAAGGCAAGCGGAGGGCAGGGGGGAGAGCTGAAGGCTGTCCCGCCGCAGCTAACGGAAGCACTACAGAACGGGGAACGTAGGGCCTGCAGCAGCTTGTGCTTGCTGCCGCCTTTCCGGCCTCGTTTGGGCTCGTCCCTGCGTCTCGGCCTCACACGGTGCTGGAACAGCAGCGTTAGGCAATTGCCACAGCCTGGGTTGTGGCCCAGAGCAAGGTGAAGATGAAGTTGTCGATTCATAGGGGCATTAATGTAAGAAACCACCATTTTTTCCTTTCAATTGATACGGTAGATAGTAGCAGAAATGGTGCTAGTACCCAAAACTGTTTCCTGGATATTATGCCAAGTTGGTGTTTGGACGTTCACAGCCCTTGCTCTACGGACCATGGTTTCCTAGCTGTGTGTCAGCACTGACCTGTGTGATGTGCTCAGCCACAGGGTCACACTGCCCTGGAAGGTCTGTGGTTCTGCCGTGTGGACTGAGGCTGCAGAGTGGAAATTAAGACACTTAGACCAGAATTAAAACCATATGAAACTGAATTTCCTGGTGTTTGATGTGGGATTTCTGAGACAACTCTTACGTTTCAGCACACTAGAGGAAAACTGCGACCACACTAACTTCACAGAACCATTTTAGAGGCAAAATATACAGCTCTGTGTCACAACTTTCAGAGAATCCCGAAACAAGCTCTATTTCAGCAGGCATTGAAATTTTATCCATACTCAATAACACTATGCTATTATGACTGTTACCATGTTTGACAGGCATGTGAGCATGGACCTGCTTCCCATCAAAAGGAGGACAGAAACTTCCCACTACTACTGTTAGTCCTCTTTTTTCTAAAACCTGGACTGAACTTGAACTCTGGGTAGAACAGAACCAGCAGTAACTCCATAGATGCTATATCATTTTGTGTCACTTTGTCACTATTATATAGTCAACTTGATTAAACATTACAACTCGCTTTCAGTTTGTAAGATGACTTTTCATTTTTTTCTAATGAAATAGCACATACGCTGTAAATAAAAAACAAACAGCTTACACTCTTTTCCCTTTGAACACAATCAGAGATTATGTCAAAGTTGAAAATGCTGTCCTCTTCAGAACACAGCTACTCAAAATAGATAAAGTAGCACAGAGAGTACCTTAGGAATAACAAAAACCTCAGTGCTGCTGCTGCTAGACAGCAATCCAAACGTTGTTTTTCTGGTTTAAGGGGCTCTGTCTCTGTTAGGTTCCATCCTTGCAGATAGGGCGGTTTTCACTTGCATAATGACTTCAATCAGACAATGTCAAAGTGTTTTAAAAAGATCTAAAGTTTGTTAATTCTAAGGCTTCCAGTGATTTACCTTACCATATTACAGCATATAATGATAAAATCTTTTGCATCATCATGTATTTCCAACATAGTTAATGAATAAAAATCAAGCAAAATCACCAGAGTCTCCAAATTATGCCTTGCTAGCATATTCATCTTAATTTACAACACAGCACTCCTAATATAGGTTCTCTCTTGCCTGTAAAATATGTGTGTACCATTTTGTTGCTGAAGTGTGGATTTAAATATCAGATATATAGTTGCAGAGTTAATAGCCAGGTAAAAATTACTGTTTCTCTTATCTTCAAAAATGTATTTTTAAATTACCCAGGAATAAGGATGATGTGAACTACACAACACTGTACAAAAAGGCATACACCATTACACCTCAAAAGTGCAAGCTATTTTCTTTCCTCCCTTCGTTCTCAGTAACTGTTACTTAAAGTTGATGCTACAGCATAATACTAGTTTAGTAATCCCATGTAGCAGAAATTAAATTTATGCTAAGATAATGAAACCAAATTTAACTAATGATAAAATAATTAAAATAAATCATAACATGTTCTGAGAATTTTATAAACTCAGAAAGCTGAAAAATCCTTGTTAATGATTCCTAGAGTTGGCTTCAGTAGAACCTTTTTAAAAAGACTCAAGTTAGTTGATTCTTAAATTCCTAATTAATTCCAGTGTTTTGGAAAGATTTAGAAAATTATCCTATTTTGAGTCACATGAAAGAAACACAGACCAGAAAAATCACTGAGAATATAAATTAGGAAATATAGCTTTTCAAAAAAATATCCCCTCAAGGTAGTAAACAACTTATATTAGGGTCTGCACTGAGAACATACTTGTGCAAGGGGGATGATGCGAGTCCACTTTTGACCAGATACCAAGTTTCAGCAGCAACGGGCCAAGAAAGAGAGACATCCTCTCACTCGCAACACAACTCGAGCTTATAGGAGAGCCATTGTAAGGCACATGACAAACAGGGCTTTAGAAGTGGAGAAAATAACGAGCCAAATGAGAGTTCACCTAATGCTGCTGTTATGAAAGAGTAGAAAGAATTCCAATAGCAGTCACCATATTCTGGCTACTTTTTTCTTCCCTGCTCAAGAATTGCATGCCAATATCACTCATACTAGACTAGGTTTTTATATTTTTTATTTTGCTTCCTCTCACATCAGCTCAATATTTTCTACCTAAAACCATTCATCTTCGTTTCTCATCTAACATCCTTCACCCTCATTCAAGTTTATAACCCTTGAATATTTCTCAAGTGAAAACTGTTTGTCAACTTCAGCAAAGTCCTCTTCTCGAATGCCATCTAGTGGATTTATCAGAGATCAGTTTGTATCTTTCTCAAGACTGAAAAATGAAGCAAATTTTTTTCCACTTTTTCAATTTTCAAAGGCAAGTTTCTGTAATTACAGTAATAATAGTTGAAAAAAACCCAATACTAAAGAATGCAGTGAAAATAGTTGCTAGACTCAATACACTAGCTATGCTCACTAATTTTTCTCTTCTGTCCTACTCCCCTAATACCTTGATTGTATGAAGCATTATATAAAGATGTCATTAATCATTAATCATTAATAATAATATTGTGAGAGGTAAACTTACAGCTTACATGAAAAAACAGCTATGACAAAGTACGTAATGTAATATAGTGCAGTGGCACTACATCAACGTTTACAAACTTCAGATTTTTGTCGTACAGCTATATTCTCACCTTTAAACTTGCAATAGATTTTTTTCCTGTGAGGGTGGTGAGGCACTGGAACAGGTTGCCCAGGGAAGCTGTGGATGCCCCATCCCTGGAGGTGTTCAAGGCCAGGCTGGATGAGGCTTTGAGCAACCTGGTCTAGTGGAAGGTGTCCCTGCCCGTGGCAGGGGGGTTGGAACTCGATGATCTTGAAGGTCCCTTCCAACCCGAACCATTCGATGATTCTGTGATAATGGTACTGAAAAAATGCGAATAAAGGCAAGCTCACACCGAATCCTTAGACCTAGTTTGGATATTTCAGTTGGGGCTTGTAAGTTTAAATCTGTAAAGAAAAAAGTTTTCAGAAGAAGCTGTCACTGTTTCCATTTAAATGTTTGAAAGAACCAAGCCAGATGTGTCAAGAAAGATCCACTATATTTTTCATATTACTAATTAATATTCAAGGTCTGAATCAACAATATACAAATAAATCTATAAAGTACATGTGTTTATACACAAAGCCTTTGTAAGACCCCAATACTAAAGTCTGTGCTGCATGTTATTATGCCAAGTATGGTAACCTACCTGCTAAGCAAGCAACCTATTCCTACTGTCACCTGAAAGGGTAATCTTCCTTTTCACTCTGACCCCTCCAATCCTGGGTCTTCCCAGTGCTTCCCGACTCAGAATTAGTGTTTATGTGGGTAGTGAAGTCAGCCAGTTCAAGACAGTGATTCAGCTGAAACCTAAAAAACTTTTATTTTTGGTAAGCCTGATTTTCATTACATCAGACACCTGATCTCAGTATCTGCATGGTCGTAAAGACTGTGAGTGGCTGGCAAAAATACAGAACCAAAGGTGGGAGAACGGTGGGATCGTACTTTTCTAGAACTTTGATTTCAAATGGCCTACAGTATCTGTGTTTGTTAACATACAAATACAGATTTAAAAAATAACCCAGAATGGGGCACAAATATTCCGTTAATAATAAATCACAGAAGGAAATAAACCAAAGGTTGTACAGCAGCTGAAAATAATTTTCTTACAGCTATTTTTGCAAGAAATTGGAAGCAGTCTTTAGATTGCTAAAAATAAATGGACATTAGGACAAAACGTATTTTTATGAAGTTATTATCTTTAATTTAAAGACAACTGTCAGTAACAACAGATTAATAATTAACTTTTTTTTTTTTACTTTCAAGAGGTTACACCATTTTGAAAATTATATTGGCCATCTCCACTGGTCAGAAGGAGGTTCTTCAACTAAAGGCTCCCATGGTTTCCACTGTATCATTTTTCTTGCCAGGGAAAGCTCATTTTCAGCCTGTTAATAAACACCATACATAAATTCTTAAATTCTGTACAATTGCCGAAGTATCAAATTACCTCTATTTCAGTTTGTTATCTCGGTGATGTCACTACCTATTATGGTCAGGGACTACCACAAATTTCATCTATAAATATCAAAAGGAACTGGGTGTTTCGGGGGTTTTGGTCTTTGTTTTTAAAAAACATATTGAATCACCTCCAAATACCCAAAGAGTCAGTCATTCCCACTGACAACTTCATGATATTTTCCAGTCTATTTGTCTTATCCCCAAATATTATTCAATCACCTTCTGCCCTTTCCACTGGTTTAGATTCTGTATACATAGAATATACGTAAGCATAATACAGCCAACGTGTTAATTGTGTTGGGTTTTACCATGATTATCCCAATCACTACATGACAATCTTCAGACTTTTTTTTTTGTTTGATTGTTTGTTTTGCAGTAAAGGAATATATGGAAAACTGCTGATTTTCTGAGTGGCAGCTCAGCCAAAGGAACACTGAAAACCACTGCTCCCTTTCGTACCTAACCTTAAATTTCCCCACCTTACCTGTAGAATGACTTCTTCTATGTGACCACTATTCAGTTTTTCCTGTAGTTTTTGCACATCAGTCTCCTGTGTATTCAATATATAAATAAAT